TGATATATTTCTCATTTAATTCCGTAAAATTTAAATGTAAATAAATTTATATATTATAAGGTATGTTTTTTTTTTTGGAAAACTCTTTCTCCACCTTTCATATGTCTCAAACACTTCCCAAAATTTTAATATTGACACTATCTAGAAGGATCATCCAAACTATTTTTCTTTTCTATTTAAATAAAATTATTTTTAAAATCTACAAACACCAAAAGATCAAAATCATATATTTCATCCAAACTAAGTAAAAAGGACTATGAATTATTTCTATTCGTCTAACATTAAACTATATATTATTCACTTTTTTAATTTATTTATCATTTATATTATTATTAGTGATAGAATTCTTAGGCATTTGTTAATGGATAGTTTTTTTTTTTTTTTTTTGATATAGTACAATTTATTCTATATACTATATTTTTAATATAGTAAAAAAACTCATTGAGAACCCTCCTGTATTAATGTCATCTAGACTTATTTTTATAAAATAATAGTAAATAATTCATTTTTTCTATATTTTAAATATGATTATATTTTTTTTTATGTTTATTAAAAAATGAAAAAATAATTAAAATTTATATAATTTTTAAGATTGATTTTCTCATCATACCTATACAATGCACAAGTATTATCTCTAGTGAAACATTTTTTTGGGACTAATAATAGCTTAAAAATAAAAGTATAATTTTTTATGAATAAAATATTTTGAATCTAAAGAAAAAATTGAAGTATAGTATTTTGAGTCAAAAGAAAATTAAAAAAGTACTTTGAGTCAAAAAAGAAATTCAAGTAAAGTATTTATTTGACCAATTTGAAATAAAACTAGTTTATTAGTACTTGTGATTTTATAAATTTGAAATATTGAATATATTTTATGAAATACTAGAGTATTTTTGTCAAAAATTTCTAGATTATTTTAAATATTTACTATTCCGAGCTTTAATATAATCAAAAAATAAAGTTTTAAAAAATTGATGTATATTGCCTAATTTTTGAATTAAATTAGTCAATTTTTTGAATAAATTACTATTTATATTTAACACTGGAATGAGTATTGTTAAAAGCTTAAACATGTCACCAATAAGACCTCACACAAAATTTACAAAGAATTTTATGAAATTAAACATGTCATCAACCTCACACAAAATTTACAAAGAATTTTATAAAATTAAACATGCCATCAATAAGACCTCACACAAAATTATTATTTATAGAATTTAATTTCTTTACATGTTGGATATAAAATTGGATGGAATATGTGTTTAGTAAAATTACTTTTGTAAAATATTTATAGAGATATTTTATGAACTAATATATTAAAGTGACACTACGATCTAAATTTATTGAATGTATGATTAATTTTAAAATAATAATAATAATAAATATATATTTGGTGTTTTAAAATTATTTTATAGCAAAAATATTTTAAATAAAATTTGTAAGAATAAATTATATAATAAGAATCATTTAAGAAAGACAAGAATACATATTTGTCATTTTTTAAAAGATATTTTTAAATTAATTTTAAATTTAATTTTCTTTTTAATATAAATCAATGAGATAATGATAATAATGAATGATTTAAATTTAATTCTATCATTACTTGCTTTCATACATTTTTAGTAATAATTTTTCAATTTATATTTGAATCATAACTACTATATTTTATTTATTCTGTGAATAATTATTTAAGTGTTCATAAATTACTAGATAAATAGTTAGATGATGGGAAGACTTCAAAAAATATATTTATTAAATATAGTTTTCTTAATATCATTACTATATTTCATAATTTGAAAGGAAAAATTATTTAATAATATTGTATTTATTTAAAATGCTCAATTCTAAAGATATAAATTATTTTAAATTATATATTAATTAAATATGAGACAAAAATAAGTTGAGTTGTGTTAGACTTTTTGAATGTCTCGTTGGGTTGTTAGTCAATTTAGAGTTTATTTTATTTAAATATATTTAAATAAACAATTTAATTAATATTTAAACAGATTAAAATTTAAAGACTAATAAAAGTAAATGTTTATTTTCATTAATTTATGTGAACTTATTTAATAAGTTTTATGAGATTATTTATGAAGTTATTCATAACAAAATTTAATTCATTTTCATAATTTTTTAAAGGTGACTAAGATTTATTTTGGTATTTTATTTAAAATACAAAAATACAATATAATAATAAATTTATTAATATTTATTTAAATAAATTATTTTGATAACTTTTATAAATTTATTTATAAAAATTGACCTAACCTTTTTAATTAATAGATTGGTAAAAATATCTAAGTCTTTTTATGTAAAAAAATTTAACAAGAAATATTTAAGTTAATGAAAATTAAAATTATTCTTTTAATTTATAAAGAATAATTTAAATAAATCCTACAATAATTGGGTTGTATTAAATTAATCATTTTTATAAAAAAATGTAAATTTTCAAAATCAAATCAATTTTATATACTATAATTTTAGATAGGATAAGACAAGTATACTCAAATCATTTAAGTGTAATTCTTATTATTTTCAAAAATGAAAATATAATAAATATATTTAAATATAATTTAATTACTGAAAATTAATATATATATATATATATATATATATATATATATATATATATATATATATATATATATATATATATATATATATATATATATATATATATATATATATATATATATATATATATATATATATATATATATATATATATATATATATATATATATATATATATATATATAAGAAAAAATTATATTTTTATTAAAAAAATAATAAAAATCAGATCTAAAATATTTTATTTAATTTTTTTTAGATAAACTCATAATTTTTAAATATTAAACACAACCATTTTCATTATTTTTTCAGTCAAACATTGACCATAGCATAGATTAAGGAATAGTTGAAAACAATAAAACTCCTATTCATTTAAAAATAATAATTTAATCCAAAAAAATTAAAATAAAATTACATTTTATATTTTAAAATATAAGAAAATAATTATAAAAAAAGACCAAAAAACAGTATAAAAGCACATAGTATGCATCACATCATCACAACACAATACACATAAAATATCATACATATTCTACGCGTCTGTTTAGAGAGAGAAAGAGAAAGAGAGAGAGAGAGTGGACTTTTGTTCCTTATTTTGTGTTTTATTCTTTTGTTTTGGTCAAATAATAAAACACTTTCACTCTTTGTTATTGCTTCCATCCAAACATAACAAAAACTCATCAACATAATAAAACACCTTTCACTTCACTTCTCTTTCTTCATGGTAATGCTCTTTCTCTTTATGAACTGTTCAATTTGTCTCTGTTTTTTTTAGTATTATTTTGTTCTTATTATGGTAAAATTGATGTTGTCTTTTTGGAAATTGTGGTATTATCATTTGCTGGTTTTGATTTCCAGTTTCTGATATGCAGCAAATTCTGAATTTTTATTACAGTTTGATATCTAACTATTCAAACCCCTTCTTTTGGCATACATGATAATTCACAAGTGAAACCCTAATTTAGTTTTTTAATTTCTTGTGATTATGTAATTTGGTAGCTTGCTCGATTTAGTCGGTCGAATTTGTGAAATATTCTTTATGTAACTAGGTAGCTCGCCCGATTTTGTCCATCAAATTTCCAAAATGCTCTATGTAATAAGGTAGCTTGCCCGATTTTGACCGTCAATTTCGCAAAATACCTTTTGTGTAACAAAGGATCTCGCTCGATTTTGTCCGTCAAATTTGTGAAATACTCTGTATGTAACAAGGTTGCTCGATCAATTTTGTCAGTCAAATTTGTGAAATACTCTTGATGTAACTAGGTCGCTTGATCGTTCGTCAAATTTGTGAAACACTCTTTATGTAACAAGGTTGCTCGATCGATCTTGTCTGTCTGCGAAATACTCTTGATGTAGGTCACTCGATCGATCTAGTCTGTCAAATTTGTGAAATACTCTTTATGTAACAAGGTCGCTCAATCGATCCTGTCCGTCAAATTTGCGAAATATTCTTCATGTATCTAGGTCGCTTGATCGATATAGTCCTATAAATTTGTGAAATACTCTGTATGTAACAAGGTTGCTTGATCGATTTTGTCAGTCAAATTTCTGAAATACTCTTGATGTAACTAGGTCGCTAGATCGATCTAGTTCGTCAAATTTGTGAAATACTCTTTATGTAACAAGGTCGCTCGATCGATCTTATCCGTCAAATATGAGAAATACTCTTGATGTAACAAGGTCGCTCGCTCGATCTAGTCCGACAAATTTGTAAAATACACTTTATGTAACATGGTAGCTCGCTCGATTTTGTCCGTCAAATTTGCAAAATACTCTTTATGTAACAAGTAGCTCACTCGATTTTGTCCGTCAAATTTGCAAAACACTATTTTTGTGACATGGTTGCTCTTCCAAATACTCTTTATGTAACAAGGTACGCTCGATTTTGTCCGTCAAATTTGCAAAATACTCGATAAGTAACAAAATATAAGTAAAAAATTACATGTATCTAGTCAATATTACAACCAGATGGATGCATGTACTTTTTTGGTCAAAAATATGAATCAATAATCATTTCTTTTTTCTATATTTGCGGGATCAAATTGACCGATCTTTTCATTTTTGTGCCGATACCATGTCGTGAGTTCGATTCCTGTGTTCTCCCTATTTCAAGGGTTTAATGTTTATCTACTTGCAAAAATGGTAATTCACTTAATAAAAGATTCAGTACTTCCAAAATGTTATGTTTCTATAACTTAATTATTTTCTTCCTTTAAAAGCTCTAGTCCACTCTCAGTAAGCACTTATGGAAAAAAAAGATTATTAAAAGAATTTTTTAAACAGTTAAAATTAGTTTTTGTATTTTTTTTTCCTTTCAGAAACCCTCTCATTTATCTTTTCATTAACATCTATGAACTTATAAGAACTTTTTAAATGTTGTCAGGTTTGTTCAAGTTCAAGTTCGTCTTTTCTATAAGATATCTGTTAACATGGTTTCTTCGCAAGGAAATGCTGATCAAAATGGTTCGTCTGATAAAGAACAGAAGCAAGTGAGTCCTGAGACGGAGGTTGCACTGTCACAAGGGGTTGACGACGTAGCTAACAATGAATCATCGGATTCCGATGTCAATGCCATGCCGAATGAATTGCCTCCATCGCCGGACGCTTCACCGCTCAAGACACATTCCCAGAGCCCCTGTACACCTTCTAATGGATTGCCTCTGTCGCAATCTAGTCAGCGCACTTCCGCTATAATTCGTGAAAAGGTGACATCAGATGGCTTTAACTGGCGAAAGTATGGCCAGAAGAGCCTCAAGGCAGAAGGATTTAGAAGATGCTATTACAAATGTTCGCATTCAAACTGCATGGCGAAAAAGAAATTTGTGATGTCACCCGATGGAAACTTCGAAAATTACACTTACGCCGGTCAGCATAATCATCCTAAACCTCAATTGAACACCGTACCATCGGTTGAATGTGTTCTTCCCGTTGTTGAACAAGGACCGCAACAATCCTCTTTGGCTGACATGGAAGGTCAAGGTAAGAAGTAAACTCCGTTAGCATTTTAGTTTTCGTCGTCACATGAAAAAGTTCTTAATATATTTTTACTGTATCACACACGCAGACAAGTCATCGGTTGAGTATGAATCTACGCCTCAACAGATCAGTCCTTTACGTTGCTGCCCACCTTCAAATGCTTCTGAAACTCATGACTCAAAGCGACTGTATGTTATCCGACTGTTTTCTAGAATTGTTGTACTGATATATCTATATACGATATCTAACCTTCAATTTACCGTTGCATTGACATCTAACAGGAAGAAAGACGATAACAACACTCATACCGTTGGAGTTGACGTGTCAACTGGTGAATCTCGCTTGGTTGTTCAAACTCCAAGTGCATCCGGAATCGTAGAAGATGGGTATCGCTGGCGCAAATACGGGCAAAAAAACGTTAAAGGGAATGAAAATCCAAGGTACCTGGTAGCTTTTGCTCTTGAATTGGTTCATAAACACACGAATTCGTGAATGGTTTAATCTAATTGATTGCGTTTTCTCTCAAATCTTCTAGAAACTATTATCGATGCACGTCTCCTGGATGCCATGTCAAAAAGCATGTTGAAAAATCCCCTGAGAATCCAATAAATATCGTAACTACCTATGAGGGAGAACATGATCACGAACCCCCTACTGCAAGACGCGTGCATTCCTTGTAATACAAGTTCCGTGCACATCAAGTGAACATGATACTGTTAAGGTTTCTGGTGATGATACTCCTAGTACTACAAGTGAACTCAATAAGGTTCCTGAAGATATAAATAGTTGGAATTGACATAGGTTATAGATATTCCTATTCTAACCTTCTATTTTCGCTTTTTCTAGTTCATCTTTATTTGTCTGGCCCGATTGATTGCATATTCAAATCACAGTGATTTATTACATTGAATGTACATTTTGGTACATATCTATGTAAAATTCCAATATATTGTAATTCGGCTCGAATTCATGTTTTGAGCATGGTGATGCTTTAAGTTGTCTTTCTTACTTTGATTGAGTTTAAAAAATGTTATGCGGAGTTTCTGGGTCGGGTTTATGTCCCTAAATTATTGTTCTTTTCTAGGTCGGGTTAATGTCCCTTATGATATTTGTGTTTTTTTAGGTCAAGTTTAAGTCTTTTAGATCTTTTGTTCTTCAATAAGTCAGGCTTATGTTTTTCCCGAAATCGGGTTTATGTTTTCCCAAATTATTGTTCTTTTCTAGGTTAGAATTATGTCTCCTTGTTATTTGTTCTGTTTAAGGTTAAGTTTATGTCCCTCAGGTTATTTGTTTTTCTTTTTCGGGTCTTCTGGGTCAGGTTTATGTCCCCCCAGATTATTTGTTCTTTTATCATTTTCATTAATAAATTTTTGACTTTGCTTCAAACGATCGTTAGGTCTCTTCGTATCGAAGTTGAGATCATCTGACAAGATGCCTTAACATGTCTATTTTGCTTTAAATTTTTTTTTGAGCATTAGTTATGTCGTCAAGATTTAATTAAATCTAGATCTTACCAATATGCAATTTGTTCTTTAAAAAATAAAAATAAAATAAAGAACAATCAGATTCCCTAAATATATAGTTAGTCGCACAATATTAATAAAAAAAATAAAGATAGAGAGCAACTTAAATGGAAAGGAGGGAAAAATTAATAGAATTCAATTGTACACATCCAAAATAAAATTAATTGTGGATGTTCAAAATGTAAGATCATACATTACAACTTTCTTTTCTGGTATTCAACCATGCCATGAAACATATGCCTAGTGCACTCGATGAATATCAAGATTTACCAATTTTACATATTACATGAATTTTATAAATTACCATACATATCTTACACGTCAATTAGTAGTTACAAGGACATCTAGTGAATACTGATATATTTCCTTGCCTCAATCGTTCGAAATTTTAATTCCTAAATCCTCAGAATGTTTGGAAAGTACTTGTCCAAAAAGATAACTTGAAAGTGTTCTCAATCCTTTGAAATATTCTTCCCCGTCATAAAGGCCTCAACACCATCCCAGCATCTTTTCAACGGCTCCCCATAGCATATGAGTAGCAAAAACAACAGTCTCTTCAATAGTGCACAATATCCCTATGAATTTTTTTCCTATTTCTTTCAGCCACCCTTAAGCGATAAGTGGGTCGTGGCTTCCTTTAAATGCTGGTAGATTCATCTTGTAATTTTTTTGAAAGGTCCAATTCCCCATATCTTGTGGAGTGAGGTGAGGTGGTTGTTGGACTCTCTGTATTTATTGTATCATTTGCATCATTAAGTCATGTTATTATTGTTGTATCTGCATATGTTGTTGTTGTTGATGCATCATCTGAATTTAAATTAAAGAAAAGATTATGATCGCTAGACTAGAAAAAAACTATCATATATAAATCATTTTACAATTAACAAGATTTAATTTAAATATATTTATCATACTTTAAGAATGTTAATTGCATTATTCCTTTGTTGTTATAAATGACAATAGCAATGTAACCCCTTCAAATGAATTCATTCAATCTCCTAGAGTATCATATATTTTAAGACATTACTTTATCCACTCCATGGGTTGAGGGTGAACACATTGAAAACCCGATCTTGCCATTTCCATATTTCAGAGATATATCTTTGGGCTCACTCAATACACACAAAAAAGGTGTTGTAGGTGAGCTACACCTTGGTTATGCCAAAAACTACTTCAGAGATGCATCTCCGGAATCACCAATGTATGCTAATAATGGTGTTTTAAGTTGAATGATCTAGTTTAATCAAATCAATGAAAATTTTAGAGATGCATCTCCAGAATCACCATTAAATGTCATTGATGGTGTTTTAAGTTGATTCAACTAGTTTAATTAAATCAATGAAAATTTTGGTGATTCATCTCAAGAAATGTTAAGTGAGAAATTTAATAAAACACCATCCTTACATGTTTTTCTTCATGATTAAACACCATTATTCTATCAAAACCTTAAAAAAAAACTCCTCCCATTCTCAATCAATTTTTGTATTCCAAAACACCATTTTTGTGTTTTATCACATCAAAAGGAGCAAAAAAAAATTGCAATTTAAGGTAAAGGACATCTATTTTCTTCCACATTGCTTGCATTGATTTGGTTTTAATAATTTAATAATGAACGTTGAGTCTGAAGATGCATCTCCAGATTAGATTCCACGTGTTCCAGATACGCACATCCGGATTGCTCTAAAGTTGAATTTGAATATTAAACTTTTTTCTTTTATGCATGGTTGTAGATATGGTGCAACTTGGTACTTTTCCTAAAGCTACTACATATGTGGATATTAAACTGAATGAAGTGGAGGATGATGTTAAACCATGTGATGTTGAAGATGATTTTAAATCAGTTGATGTCGAGGTGGATGTTAAATTGGTTGTTACCGATGTAGATGTTCAGAATAATTTATAACTAAGAAAGAGTTTATTGAGCGTGAACATATGCTTCAATGGATCCATACAGAGGCTTCCTAACTTGTGTTCAATATTGTAATTGGGAGGTCTGATAATAGTTCTGATAGAAAATAAATATTTTTAACAATGAGATGTAAAAAAAATGGCACATACCAACAACCTATTCAGTAGTTCAAACGGAATGACACTAGATTGGAAAATTGTGATTGTCCTTTTAAGGTTCATGGATACCGTAAGGCCAATAGTATATGGAAATTTAATGTGGTTTCTGGTATATATAATAATTACTCGTGTCACAAGTTAGCTGGTTATACCATTGTATGTTGCTTTAATCCTGAGGAGAAGGAACTTGTTTTTGATATGAAATTGAATATGGTACCTCTCAAAAACATACTTGAAACATTGAAACAGAAAATAACTCAAAATGTATGAAATATCAAGCAAATATACAATGTATGTGCTGTAAAAACCAAGGTGATAAGAGGACAAAGAAATAAAATGCAACAACTATTGAAGCTTCTGGATGATGATCACTATGTTTCTAGGAACAGAGAGTCTGGGGATGGAGTCACTGTTCAAGATATATTTTAGACTCATCCTGATTCCATCAAATCGTTCAACATATTTTTCAATGTGCTTATAATTGATTCAACATACAAAACAAACAAGTATATGCTTCTGTGACACCCCAAATTAATTCATGTGTTAAATAATTAGGAATTTAATTATTAAATTAATTAAAGGCTTAATTAATAATATTTTGGATTAAATGGATGAATTAATTATGGAATTAAAAAGGAAGATCGGGGGGTGTAAGGTTGAATTAGAGGTGTGTGAAGTAAAAAGCTCTACTAAAATAATTACTAATTTATTATTATTTGGCAAATAATAAAAGGAAATAAAAAGAAGAATAAAAAGGAAAAGAAAGAAAAGGAGGTTATTTGGAAAATCATTGTATGTGAAATTGGAGAAGAGAAGAGAAGAGAGGAAAAAGCCAAACGCCGTGAATTCGAAGGATCATCGCGAGGTAAGGGGTGATTTCGATTATTTAATATGTCTTACAGATTTTGGGATCAATAGAATTGATTAAGCATGTTAGGAATCCCAATTTAGGATTTATGAAATTCAAACCTCAATCCCATGAATTTTATGTTTTGATTCAATTTGAGGTTATGAGGAAATTGTATGATGTTATGGTGTGTTATAATCTCATTGGAATCATGCACTATAACTTGTTTTGACATTGTTGTGAGTTGGACTCGTATGGGTATGAATTGGATGGAATTGGAATGAATAAATGCTGTCAAAATAGCAGTTTTTGACTTTTCAGGTCGCAGGAATCGGTTCCCAGTGGGGAGGAACCAGGTTCCACTGTGTAAACTTATAAAAACTGGCATTTTTCAATGCAGGAACCGGTTCCTGTATAGGTAGGAACCGGGTTCCAGTACATTTTCCAGAAACGTAACTTTTTGAAAAATACTAAATTTTGAAAATTCATAACTTTCAAACCGTAAGTCCGATTTGAGTGCCGTTTTCGGCAGTATTTCTTAAATTAAAAATACTATCTTATAAAATAAGAAAAATATTATTTTATGAAAATTATTTTAAAAAGAGTCGAATTCCCGATTTTTATAAACTTTGGTATTTTGAGAACGATGTAGAATTGTTTGTAAATTGTTCTGATTTGGTGAATAAGAACTGATACTTATGTGTTGTGCCTGCTATCCATTATGATTGAGATGTGATCATGTGATATATTGGTTTTGGCATTATTTGGAATTATGTTGTGATCATATTCCGTTGATTTGATGTTGACTTTCCGATTATGCGGTTTGTTATTATGTGCATATTTGGTGTATATGCAATGGTGTATCCATGATAATTGATTGTATCAGGTCCTTGTGGATGAAGTGCATGTTTATGCTGTTTGATGTGTGTATGATAGATAATGATATCATGTTTATTTTGGTTTTAGTTCAGTTATGATAAATTGATGTATTTCATAGACTGATTTGATGTTGCATGCTGGTGATGTGCATGCATATGCATTGTTTTGGTGAAGTTAATTCCCATTGTGTGGAATTTGACTTGTATTGCCGTTAACCGATACCCGGGTGATGATGGGTGGTTAGGCTGGATTCGTGTCCGAGTGTTATGGACGAATCGATGATTGCTTCGGTTGGATTCATGTCCGAGTATTATGGACGAATCGATGGTTGCTGTATCCGGTTGATGATGGATCAGTGATGGGT